TGGAGATACTTTGCCTTGGATAGAAAATAAAAAGGCTTCCAGCTCTCCTGAGCAGTTAAGATCCAGTCCTTTAAGTGTTTGGCCATACAGGTAATTGCACTTAGCACCTTGATGTAAAACTCATCCCTAACAGCTCCAAGGGAGGATTTAGACTGCAGTCTCAACACCAGGATACAGCTACAGGAACAGCCAAAAAACACAGCAACTACTCACTGATATCCTGTCCTGAAATTCTGCTGTAGGCACCACTGGAATAGTTCCACCATGCTTCCCAAATTTTCTTTCCAAGCTTTCCTGGACAGACACTAGAAAAGGGAAAAAGCAAAGGCAAGGTAACCAATGCGTTTGAAATAGGTATCCTCCCCTGCCCTTTCAGCATTCACAGGCATGAAATGCAGATTACAGGGCTTGGGGGGGCTGGCGGAAGGCAGCAGATCATCTTATGCTTTGCTTTGTAAGAAAAAGGCAAGATGCTAATTCTATAGTTTTATAGGTGAACGCCTCTGTTATGAGTATCAATATTCCAGGATTACTGCTCTGGGATGAAGTCAGATGGTGAGCAGACTGTAGCTGTTACTGATCCTACCTTAGCAGCTTCAGAAAGTTGACAGCAGCTTGACCAACATTCCCAATTTGATAGCATCAGTCGAAATAGTTAAAGCCATAATTTATTCCCCGTTGTATTTCATATCCATGCTACTTATCCCCGTGACTACCTTTCTCTACACAAGTTTCATTTAAAAATAGAGAGAAAATCTGTTGTTTTTCTTTCTATTTTTTTTCCATTAAGCCTATTCTCTCCACACCATCAGTATTCTGGCCCATAAACTGGGAAGGGCACACAGTGGCCCTAAGTGGAGCTGTAGGCCATAAGCCGGTTTCTGCAGTGCTTCTACCAATGATAGCATTGACTTTCACAGACATTCTCCATTGTTGTATGTGCAGAACAATGTTATCGCTCAAAATTCCGAATACTCCTCAAATACCAAGTGGGTTTGTGGTCAGTATTTTGACAAAAATGAAAAATAAATCACATTAGGAATTACTAGGTGGCAACAGAAAAAGGATGCATTTAATTTAAATCAAGTGAGTTGCAGTTCATTTAAAATGCAGTTCATAGTTAAAATAAAAAGCAAGTGAAAACAGAACTGAGCACTTACTGAGCAAGTGGTAGTTTGAATCCCTTTCGTATTTAAAAGTCAAGCGGCCATAACTGACGTGGTTCAAGTTTTTCAGCCACTCAAAATAGGAGACTGTCACACCACCAGCATTCAAGTAGAGATCCTGCACAGAAACAGAGATGTCTTGCATTGTAGTTAGAAAAAGTAAGCAAAAACATTATGTGCAAAATACTCGTTTAAATTGCAGTAAAGAAGTCAATCTAGTTATTTCTGGTGACAGTATTTATGTTTTTCCAGAGATTACTTCTGTTGACTTGAAAGTGGACTTTAGAACCCAGTACAGTTTTGTTTGTTGTACTTTAGTACAAGTTTTCAAGCAAGAAAACTAGGGCATCCTTAGGCCATCTCAACTGGTAAAGACCAGAAGAGCAGCTGCTCCTAAGATTTTTTTTTTTTTTTTTTTTAACTCGACAGGGACACCCTTTCTCCCAGGTCTTATTCTTTCAAAGACTGTGGGCAACACATAATCCATCAATCTATGATAGCCAGGTTAGCCAGAGCATAACTTGCAGACATGATGTTTACAAACATTTTTGCTCTGCCTTTCTCTTTTTTTTAATGAATTATTTAGTCAGGCAAATAACAACTACTACTCCAGAAGTGAAGACTACAGAACCTATTTAAGAAATACTTGTTCTCCCTTCTGATGATGTAGCCTTCATGGGATAGTTATCTTTGAGTAAGCATTTACTATTGCAGTGAGATCTTTAGGTAATTATCACCCATCTTAAGCAAAATTTTCTCCCATTTTCCAGACGTCGGAGGTACTCTTTAAAAAAAAAAATAACAACAACATTCAACAAATAACACTTTGCTACGATTTATGGAAACACTACTCCTAACAAAAGTCGACGATCAAACCAGTCTTACAGGGATAACCATGATGTTCCGCTCCAGGAAGATTTTGTCAGCTTCAGGGGTTGTAGGCCCATTGGCACCTTCGGCAATAATCTGAAAGGAATCACAGCAGAGCAACCGCTGAATCAGAGATGTACGTTTGCAGCCACGCTCATCAGTGAATATAGCATTTCAGCAGCCTTTCTCCACTTTGCATTCGACTTCTCTAACTTACTTTCGCTTTGACCTTGTGAGCATTGGCCTTGGTCAACTGCTTCTCGCTGGCAGCAGGGATGAGAATGTCGCAGTCGATCTCCAAGATGCTGCCATCCAGTTGCTGTGCTTTGGGGTAGCCCATGATTGTCCCGTGTTGCTGTCCAAAGGAAACAAATCAATGTTTTTTAGAGGGTGAGCGCGTTTTACCTCCCTCCCATCTTCTAGCCTTCTTAAGAGAGAGAGAAGGGAGTAAAAAACAGCACTAGTAAGACAGTACACAACATAATTCATGCTTAGAAAAGGCAATAGAAGCAGATCACAAAGTGTAGATAGTGATCTAAGTTCCCATGATTGAGGCATAACTGCTCTCTGGACAAAGGTGCTCATGTTGTTTGCTCCCTGACGTATACAAAAACATGTAGTCCCTCTCAACTCCTTAAAATACAAGGTAAACACAATAGCTTTCAAACAACTGAAATGACCCACTAGTCTGCTCCGCACAGGACACGTTGCTTTGCCTAAGATTGAAAAATACCCTTTTAGAATTTAGTATTGATGGCTTTTGTCTAGTGAGAGAATCTTTTAATACTTTCAAGAAAGTGGGTTAAAAAGAACAGAAGCACATGACAAATGAGCTCCCGAGGAGATCGTATGCTAGCATCTGTCAGAGGGGCTGTCAGTGCTTCAGCACCGCTCGGCGGGTGGCTAACCAACAGGCAGAGCGCGCGGTGACGCGCTAACGCATGGTTGTGATTCGCACCCAGGAATCCTTCAGGGGCTTCCTGGCCTGGCCTAGTTTAGTCAGAAGAAAGGCAAAATAAGCACCCTCTCCAGTTCTGAAACCAAAATAATTGGCCTGCGCACATGCAAACCCTTTCCCTTTCACAAAGGCAGGTCAAAAGGCAAAAACTGCCCAAGGTTACGACGCAAGCTGGCTGCCAAAGCCGCACCATCAGCTAGCACCAACCACCTGCGTCGTGCTGGCGATTAGGAGAAAGCAAAAAGAACATTCCTGAGCCATCTAGAAATTCCTCACTGTAGCATGATCTAAATATTACAAATTTACACCAGTTTACAGTCATCCTAAGTGCTTGTAAAGCCAACAAAGTTGAAACGTTTCTTCTCTGCTAAATTTCATACCAATTTGTAATCTTCTAGTTCCTTCGGGTCAATCCCATCGGGATTCCAGATAGAACCATTGAACTCTCCAACAGCGACACATTTTGCTCCAAAACGATGCAAGTATCTCATAGAATGCAAGCCCACGTTACCAAACCCCTGAAGGAGGAAAGACATGGGGAAGAGTGGTTAACCCTTTAGTTAAACTGGCAATTACTGCTGGTGCTTTGAATGGCTTTTTATCTATTGGAAGGGCTCTGCTATATTTAATGTATTTCTGAAGCAATCTCATGCAAAATAGATAGCTTATATTTAAATAATCTTTTATTTCATTGGCACTTTCTACATCTCTTCAGGAGTCGCTGTATTTCATGTATTTCTGAAGCAATCCCATGCAAAATAGCTTATATTTAAATAATCTTGCATTTCGTTGGCACTTTCTACATCTCTTCAGGAGTAGAACACCTCATTCCAGGCCATTACTCCACACAGTGGAAACAGAAGAGCACAAAGGGCAGACCAAATGGTCCCAGGACCCCCATCAGTTTGTAGAAAGATTCTACCCCCATCCCCAAAAAAAAAGCTCAATATGAAATCCCTGTAGGACATAGCTTCAGTTATCTCTAAGATTCCTTTTTTTTCCTCTATCAGAGACAAACTTTGATATAACAATTTGGCATGCCCTAGGTCTACAAGCAATAATACAGCCTCATTTTCCTAGAGGAACCTGCAGCTATTTCATTGGCCGTTTTTTGAGTGTCCTGCTCTGCGTTAGGGCCTGTGGGTTAGCCCATGGCCAGCACAAAGAAGCCCCAGGGCAGGCAGAGCTGCTGCCTCCGGGCAGGGCAGGGACCTTCGTTCCAGCCCCTGGTCAGCAGGAGGACAACACAGAGGTCCCACTGGGCGCCCTGTGGACTCTGTATTTCTAACAGCCACTGAGTCAATACGAAAGACAACTCCAAACAAAGCAGTTGCTCAGACCCTCCATTCAACTACCAGTATCGCTATCAGTTTCTGCTTTCACTACCATTTATTCTATGGTAGAACAGGAACATATTACCTAATTCCTACACTCTTTTCTGATTTTATTTTATTACAGGAAGGTACACCAATTTTTGTTTAGGCAAAAACAGTGCCACAGTTCATTAAAATGTGTGCAGTGCCTTAGTTTAAAGAACTGCTGTAGTAGTAACTCATTTTGGTCTTTGCAACCTATGTTTACACAGACTGGCTTTGTGCCTGTAAGGTGCAATCGAAAGTTCAGTTTTTACAAGAGAGTCCAAAATAAAGGGCACCTCTGTTGTTTGAGAAGCGTTTCTAAAGTTTGAGAGTAAAGGTTAATCTTGAAAGCCGTAAAACTCTAACAAGGTTTATTGCTAAAGCCCATTCTAAAAGCAACTCTACCAGAATTTTCTTCACCACTTTTTCCCTGCAGTTGATGGGGGAAAAAAAAAAGTTACCTGAACAGCAAATGTTTTATCTCCAAAGCCAGGAGTCATTCCCAATATACTCATGTATGATGCTTCATTGATGAAGTTTTCAATTCCATGGAAGAGCCCACGACCAGTTGCGGAAATACGTCCATGGATCCCACCTTGGCTGATGGGCTTACCAGTGACGCATGCGTGTGCATTAATGTCCTGGAAAGCAATGAGAGATTTGTGAGCTAGGGAAGCAATCAAGGAAAGGACAGCTAGAACAACTTTTGTGCACTTCAGAGACTCAGGGATCCAGGTATTATTAAAGTCAGAAATTGCAGTTTATATATATTTAGTTTACAAAGCCAATTTCCTTCCTGAAGTTGTATGAACAGCTTCTTAGAAGAAAAAAATACTTCAGCAGGTGCCAGGAAAGTTATATAATGCAGTATTAGATGTCGTCTAATTGCTTTCGTTGTTGTTGCATCCAAGTTGCCTTGAATTTGTGGTTAGTGACACTATTGTGGTTAGTGACACTACTGTTGTGCTATCTAATTGTTTTTGTTGTTGTTGCATCCAAGTTGACTTGAATTTGTGGTTAGTGACACTACTGTTGTGCTGTTAGCAAAGAGCAGACAAATCAGAAAGTTTTGAGGGATGTGCTGCTCAGTATTACCCCCTGTAGCAGTCGTAATTTCCATCATCATTCTTGGCATTTTAATACCTAAAAGGGTTCAGATGCATCTTGGGATTGTTCACAGCTAAAGCCACTTTGTTATCTTTAATAGTGTTTAGTGTTCCTTTACACCAAATTCAATTACTTCGAAACACAATATAAGCCTAACACCTTCCTGTTGTCACAACACAGGGATCCGGTTTTATCTAAAAAGTCTAGTACAAAGGTCATGTAGGAAAGGCTAGATAAGTATTTTCTATTTTTACTCAGAAATATATAGCATCCAGCTTCTATCCTAAATCTGCTGCGAAATAGAATTGTTTTCTGCATAGCTATCTGGGAACAAATTTAAAGCTGGAGTTGATTTTTTCAGTTGAAACTAGTAATTTGAAACAACCTTCTGTGGCCAGTGGTTCCCATGCTCCCGCCGCTGGGAGGCTGCCCGTGCAAACAGCGCCCTGGCGCCCGCAGCAGCGACCCGGGGGGCTGGGAAGGGACGCGCTGAAAGGAGCTGCCGGCAGCCGGACGGGTCTCTGATCCCCCCGCAGCGCCTTCCCCGGGAGGCTCCCGGCTCTGCGCTGCTTGTGCCAAAGGCACTTCCATGCCAGCGCGCGGAGCGCCAGGAAGGGAAGGCGCACAGCGAGTGGAGGCAGCATGGCATGAGGTGATTAGACCCACAGTGGAAAGCAAAGTAGTGACTGCTTGAAAATAGCAGTGAGGCAACCGTAACCTTTACTAGCTCCCCTTTAAAAGCAATAAAAGCGATGCCAGGCTCTCGCACAAAGTTCCTGACTCAGTTTCCCCAATGCAAGCACCTTGTGTTCATTGAGCTGCTGCTCCCTCTGGTGGCCCTTGTGGTCCCTGGGTGTGCCCACAAGATCCAGGTTGTCAGTAGGAAACAACTTGGCTCGGTTCTCTGAAGCATTACTGATGTTTCATCCCGTTACTTGCACTGAAACTGTATTTCAGCCTTCCTGATTCACACAGGAGACACTGATCTATAAGCGTGCAAATGAGTGCAGCCTCCTACCACTCACAGGAACGTGTTCATTAAAGTCTCCTCGTATCTCCTACAAGTCAGTCTGATGTGTTGGAAAGTACAGAAGAGTAGAAAGGATGATTTTAATCAAAGACCTTAGCAATGTATAATTCAGTCATCCAGGAACATAAGTTGGATTTTCCAGAACAGTTAACATGGTAGTCATTAAAAACCTGCATCATTTGGCAAGAAACAGCATGAGCTAAGGGCAGGTCTTAAAAGTCACATATTCAGACCTCAGTAAATGTCAGATCCCCAAACTGGCATCATACTTATGTTTTTAAGTCAACTGAAAAAAAAAATGTGTATACGTCAGATGTGCACAGAGTCACACCGAGTCCTCAGGTCTGAACCTTCCCACAGAGCCATCCTCCCACGCAGCCGAGCCAGGTCCTTCACACAGCTGCTCTCTTTTCTCTGGGTTGTCATTAGTTTCAGCCTCTGTTCAATGGTGTTTTTTTCTCCAGTTCTCCCTCATTGTCACTTTTATATATTTGGCCATTGTCTTCAGTTTTGTTCTTGGTGTGTCAGCCAGCTAGTTATCTGAAACATCTTCCTCTACAAACTGGTTCTGATAGATTACTGCACTCTATCCAGCCTTGACAGAGCTCCTGCCTTCCTTCTCTACACCTGGTAATTTTTCACAATAGTTCATGATTCCAACTAGGACTACCATTATCTCTTCCATCTACAACCAAGAAACTCTACAAAAAAAAGCACCTTCCCTTGTGGTTCCAATTCTTTAATTTACTTTTCAGAAAAATATAGCTAAATTCTCTTAGCTGCTTTTGTTCTTCAAGACTAAGACAGTACCTTGCAGAGATAGCTTAGAAATAAAAGAAGCCATTGCAGCCTAATCACTATTATTATTTTTTAATCTCCAATAGTGGTTTTGTGTGTGTGTATGTGTGAAATGTGTTTATCTGTAGGACAGTACAACCTGAGATCACGAGGTGGGAAGAATCAGAAATCTTTTCCTGTATCAATGTTTAGTTTTCCACCTAACAAAACGAAGCTGCTTTACAGAACTCCTGTATGTGAACGGACTGTTAACAAAGCCATGTGCAAGTTGTTACCCTTCAGCATCACTCTTAAAAGAGCAAGTCTGCAGTATCCCAGTGAAGGATGCATTCGAATGCAATGACTATGCTTACTGTATTATAACTTAATACCTTGAAGAAGTGGTTTTCTTAAATTTCTGAAGTTATGACTGGGGAGTAAGTTGTCCTTTGCACCCTGAGCTGTCCCCTAACCAGTATTTTTTAACTTTTGTAAGGCTTAAAGTTTTTAATGACTGATTTGCATCTAAATGTGTGAATGCCCAAAAGCAAGTAGTGCTTTAGACTTCCCTGGCCAACAGGCAGCTCTGTAGAAAAGCTATTCAACACAAGTAATCCATTTGCTACAGCCTCTTTTTTTCTCCAGAGGACCCCTCAGACTGTATTTCAGATCTAGGACAAGCCATGGCACCCTCTCCGTGATTGGTATGGGCAACAAATACCACAGGACAAGTATTTTGCCAGGAAGAACACTGTCTTGAGAGAGCCAAGCAGGCCTTGACCAGACATGCCAGGGAAATACGTGCCAAGCAGTTATAATGCCTGGCTACTGGGGGGCTTGGGAAGGAAATAATTGCCGCTGTATTTCTGAGGAGATGCTGGAAGGGATCACAGAAAGCAAGAATGAAGTATCTTGTAATTTCACAACATGCAATAGCTTAGCCTTTGCCCCAAACTTACATAGTGTCCTATGGTACTGGCATAGGTGTCAGCAATCCAGGACATCTCCCTCTCCCCTGTGCTCATGTCGGGAGCAGGCACATCAACACCAGGTCCTGTTGGCAACAGCAAGACAGCTCTGAAGGTTCAGACATGAACAGTTATCTTCAAATGTTGTTCCCTTGAGAACTGAGCTGGACTTGGCAAATAATTTTCTTATTTAATCCTCAGTTGATTACTAAAGTAACAGGTTTGTTTGGATTCAATTCAGTTGGCAATTGTACAATACAGGAGGCAGTAAAATGAAGATCAGTTTGTCAATGAAAAGTTAAAGTAAGATAATGCATCTGAATCATATTTTTACTTTTTTGATGATGGCTGCTATTAGAACAGAAAGGACATTACTTAGGTATGATCATAAAATGAACAACTGTATGATTGCACATACGTTTGATGTTTTTCTAATAGAATATTTATGCATTTCTATGAATTTCTTTTTCCTCCCTAGCTGAATTTAAAATTTGTTTAGAATATTAGCAGGATGTTCTAATCATTGATTTACAGTAAATATTTACATACAATACGTTCAATGTTTTTCTATTAGAATATTTATTCATTTCTATGAATTTCTTTCTCCTCCCTAGCTGAATTTAAAAAAATGTTTAGAAATATTAGCAGGATTTTCTAATCATTGATTTACAGTAAATATTTTAATTTACCTCTTATTTCAAGGAAGGTATTTATCCAACCTATTTAAGGTCAAAGGGTTCTGCTCAGCAAGACTTGAAAACCAAGTGTGCCTCTACAAAGTTGCCTGCTAAATATTTTAAAGATTTTGAAAGCTGTACAGCTCCTACCATAAAGAAAGGAAGGTGAATTTCATCCCACTATTTTAGCTATCGCTGAACTAGAAATTGTCGCAGTTAGCATGCAGTATAGTGCATACTATTACACTAGTTACACGTAACATCAATAAGTGCTTTTGAAAGAAGCGTAATATAGATGAGAATCATTCTGGTTTGAGAGCAAGAAAATGCAGATAAATTAATATACATTCTTAAAGGCAGTTAGACACCAGGAATATATGGCAGACACTTGACTAGCTACATGTCCTACATCATGCCTTCATTTCAAAAAGAACCTTCTACAGCTAAAGATCCTCCCTTTAATTAGGAGCTGAGCTAATAATGTCCAGTTTTATTTGAGAGAAAACTTTCGCACTGTCACACACCAGCTGGAATGCAGCTCGGGTTTGAGACTCTCAGTGAAACCCCTACTGCCACTGCAAAGGCTGAGGTGCTGTCACAACAGACACCCAGACGTAGCTTCCTCTGCAGCCTGAGGTTGCCAGGGGTGAAGCCATCAAAACTTTCTGGGGTGGATCTTCCATTTCCTTCCTGTTTCCTCTGGTATCTGCCAGAAGCCTGAACTAAGACTACAGGAAAATAGTAACTGTGAGTGGCTCCATATTAGAGATTAAAATTGCAACAAACTTGGTCACGATTTATGATTTACTTGGTTATGATTTATTCTTTTCATGATGTAGTAAGCTGCAATGATCCTATTCTTTGTGGCTCTTTGCTCAAAGTGTTGTACCAAATTATTTACAGCGCCCAAAAATACAGTTTTTATAGGGATATTTTCTAGTGGACATTTTCAACGTATGGTAAATCAGATTCCTAAATTTTACTATCAAAATTCTACACAACATACCAATGAAACCCTTTTTTGCTAGCTCCATGGTAAATCTTCTCGTGATCTTTTCCAATTCATTATCCTATAAAGAAAATACAATAAATATCACAAGAAATCATTAGTGCTTATGAGCATTTGCTAAAATTAATACCCAAGTGTGAAAAAGCTGCCTTTTCCTTTTAGAAGGAAGGATGATTCATGTGTTTCCGAGGCTGATATGCCACTCCCAAACAATCCGTTGGTAGTCGCAGAGCCCAGGAAAACACTGGACTTTCTCTGGACATTCTGATCCATGACGAATCAGGAATGCAGCACAGAAAACACCTGTGCTTGTAGCAGAGATCTCCAGCAAACAAGTCCCACAGCCCAAGAGATTCAAACCCAGCAACAGCAATAGCGGCCCTGCAGGTCACACAAGCAACAGAGCCCTGAAGTAACTCACACCAATCCTCACATGAGTTTTGAGCTTACACTATCTTATATATATTTGAGCATTCTAGGGCAAGGTGGCAAGCCTGCAGTGAACTTTTTATAAAGCCAAGTTAGCTATTATTTACACTGGAACACTGCGTATAGAGGTTTAATAGACCATAAAACTATTTGTCATAATAAACAAAAACATTAACTTTTTTACGAGAGTAGTTTAATTTAAGCCCTTTTTAACAGTATCAACTTTAAAAAAACGAAATAGATTTCAAATGGTATGCAGTCTTCTGATCTTAAGATTTAGAAGTAAAGATCTAAATGACTGAAGTAAACAATTTCTAAAATAGTTTTCCTACCCATTGCATGGAGAAACTTAATTTGGCCTCTACGGAGGCAGAAGTGGCAGGAAATTTTAAGTTGCCAATAATACCCTTAAAAGAGCTTTTAAACTGGCTGGCTTCAGTACTGCAGTTAACTGAATTTTTATCTATGGTTAAGCTTACTGTGTAGTTCTTGGGATTGATCTTGACACCAGCCTTTGCCCCACCAAATGGCACATCTACAAGAATGCAAAGGAAAATTATTTTACTCTTTCAACAATAAAGGCAGAACACATCAGTAATTTGTGTGAATCACTATATCTTTGATTTTCACAGTGAATTTAGTTTGGCCATGCCCAGGGCTTCACAAAAGTAAGCTATAATCTGACCTGGCAGTTCCTTTTAAAAGGGGAAATCTTTAAGGACATCTTGAAAATTGTCTTTAAAACTTTATTATTTAAGTCTTGCATCCTTCAAGCTCTTCTACTTAGTATTTGTAAAAACAGGTTTTACAAACTTGTGTACAAACAAGTTTTACAGTTTATTTTGTACTGAGAGTCTTAAATGAAGTTTCTCTATACAAAAGAAGTTTCTCTGTACACGTTTTTTTTCCATGCACATAATGCTTAGATGCTCTCCAAATTCCCCTGTAATTAAGCAGTCATATATGAATAACACTTTTTTATAACCCATAAAGGAATTTTATCCCTCTCCTCCCTCCAGATCTCCCCTGCCTCAACCCTTCACAGTCTCTATCCCCTCCCCTTAAAATTACCTCCTCCAAATCCAAGTCTGCCACACATGGCTTTGCATTCTAGAAACAGTACTTTTATAGGGGGGTAACTAGCAGAGTTTGGATTTTCCAATGAAAATGCAACTCCGTTTGGGCTCAAGAAGTTACAGTAACAGCAGAGGGACTATAAATAATTGTATTTGTCACTGTATGTTTTACTCACTTGATGCAAATTTTAGTGAAAGATTAATATCTAAAACTTAATTTCATCCTTCAAATGCCTTTCTTTTCATTACATCAGTAATTACATCAGACTGAGATTCTAGATTGCCTTCTTGCTTGACAAATCACCACTTACCAACCACAGCACATTTGTATGTCATTAGAGATGCCAAGGCTTTCACTTCATCCACGCTAACATCCATACTGTAACGAATACCTGCAAGACACACAGCAAAAAAAAGGGAATTTGCTGAATAGCTTCTTGTGTATTTGTAAATGGGGAAGGCTACATCTAGGCCATCCATCTATGACATGCAAGTATTTATCTTATCAACCCATTTGCCTTAAAATTTTTAAGAGCAATGCCCTGTTCTCTTAAATAAGTAGTTATCTTTTCTTTAGCAGAAATTAAAGACCTCAACAGTTTTCTGTTAACAATAGCACTCAACCCTGGAATGAAAGAGCATGTTCCGTGGGAGCCAGACCGACAGGTGCCTGTTTTTTAAAGAGATTGATGAAGCCCATCAGCATGCTGTGAGATCTTTAACTTTGAACTCCATTCACTGTTTATACAAGATGAACTGTGTTCCCGCATGTAACTTATCAGTAGAGGTCATAATCAACATCCCTTGGCTAGGGTAATGCCAGCTTCTGTTGAGCTACGAGCTTTGTAACACGCCTGGCCGTGGTCCAGCGCAGCCACTCGTGGCCCTGCCTGCCTGACACAAGCAGCAAGCCATTCTGCTGGTTCAAATGTGAGAGACTAACCCTACCAGCCAGGCAGGGTGTGATCCAGCCAGCCGTCCTGCACCCGGTATGAAACCCAGCACCATCCGCGTTGTCTGCTTCGGTTTGTTCAGCAGAACACAAGTGTGCGTTGACAGATGATCCAGATCTGAACTAATGGGTTTGATGGAGGCTCAGATTCAAAACTGGGGACTGTGGCCTTCACGGCAGCTCAGAACCAACTGGAAATGATAATGCAAAGGTAGACATGTCTGGTCACCTGGCTGTCTCCTAAAAGTTTTTTAAGAAATGTTCTCTAACCGTCCAGTAAGTTGACCAATACAAATTTTTAAATCTCTCATTCTAGAGGTAGTTGCAAAGTAGGAAACTTTAGACATGGGGCGCATATACACAGACCTGCAGAGGCCTAAACATGCAGTTTAGGATCCACACAGATCTCACAAATGCACGAGGCAACAGCTCTGCATGAGCTTCTCTCAAGCTTGGTCTTATTATTAGCCCTAACAGAGCTGTGCAGAATTTGTTGTCTCCTCTACTCCCCAAACCCTGCAAAGATGGGCTGCAGGTTGTGCCAGGCTCCGTGGTGGTTTGTAGCAGGCACAGAGTGTCCCTTAGACACTTGGATGAGGCGCCACAAACTCCTATTCTCTGGAGAGGCACATTTTCGGGTCCTCAGAGAGGAAAGAGGCAAGCACACATTATCCCAGCTAAAGCGCCTTGCCCTGGGAAAGCCATTCCTGAATGCTCTGGACACGGTCCTGGCGTCAAGGAAACTGAATGCTGCTCAAGCAAAGCTGAGAGCCCAGCTCTGCTTTCTTATGTGAGTCCAATTAGGGGAAGAAAGCAGCAGGCCTGCACACTGCAGAATGCAAATGTGCAGTGTGCAAGGAGGGACGGTGGGCTGCAGACAGATTAACCAGCTCTGGCCTGGGGCAGCAATAAGATATGGAGGAAGCCCTGAACTCCAGGCCTCCAAGAACCTTTCTGCAGGGAAAACATTGAGATTTAAGCAGAAGCCCCATCAGTCAGTGTGAGACACCCCATACACGGTGTTTCACTCGTGTGGGTTCTGCCTCCTGGGCTGGGGAACCTGCCCGCTCCCCTCGGAGGGGTAGCCCTGGAGCAAGAAGAGCCACCGCACGGCCAGGCCAGGGCAGCGCTCTGGGCCCCGTCCCCAGGCCGGCGGGATGAGCTCTGCCCGCGAGGCCCCGCGGTGCCCGCGCAGCCCGCACGCTCGCTCCAGCCTCACCAAGCCCCTCCGCACAGCAGCTCTTGCTGGACTCCTGCCAGCACTGCCTCGCAGCCACCCAAAATGCTCTTTATTGCTACGTGGATAGCACCAGGTGGATTGAGAGGTAGGGGTACTTATTGTTTATGGTTTTAACAGGGAAATAGAACACAAAAGAGTGGCCTCTGAGTCTTTATCATGCAGAAGATCCAATCTGAAAGCCTGATCAAGCAGCAGTGCAGCTTGAGGCGTCACACATGCAGTTCAGTTACATTTCTGTTTTATTGAGGGCAGCTACGTGTTTTATTGCAACAAATATTACACTTTTATACTGGGTGAACTAGGGAAAATGTTCTGAGATTAACACAGTATTGAAAGGCTTTCAGCTGAGACACCCATAGTCACCCATTTACATGTACCAGAACAGAGGCAACTTTTAGGCTTCAGGCTGAAATTGTCCTTTTTTGTTTTGAGTGAGATTTAGCTTCTTCGGCAGCCCTGTTAAATGGAGGTATTTGTGCTAAGCTACGCGGGCTGATGAGAACCAGGCATCCAAGAGCACTGTGCTTTCCTGCAGGAGGATGCACAAGGATAAAAGACTTCATTACTATTATGTTTGGACATCACTGAAATTTAGTTTGACAGCTTCCTTCTTTGGTATGGGAAGAGTATTGCCATGCATTTGTACAGCTATTTTAGTAGATACACTCAGTAGCTTGATTCTAAAATGGACCACATTCACAGATACAGTACTGTTTTTCTTGCTTTTTTGTTCCTTTTTTTTTTTTTTTTCTCCTCCAGAAGATGTGTCATACTTGAGCAATGCAAACCACTGCTACACCGCAAGATTAGCATTTTATAAGCCTGGCAGATCCCACATAGTGGGTCTCTGAAAACTTGTGACTGTTACAGCAAACGAGTTGGACAAAGTAGTTTGAAGAAAGCCTCAAGTTTTGCATGACTCACTGCCATGGAAAATACTTTTCACTGGAAAACATACGTATTCTTTTTCTGGATGAATATTCCCTCTCCTTGCCACACCCCAAGAAGTCAAACACTATGCTGAGCGGTAGGTTGTTTTTGCAATGAACAAAAATTCTACATGAGGAAAACATTTTATTTTAATTTTGTTTCATTACTGGGTAGCATAGAGGGAAGGCTTTATTATCACATTAGCGTCTTTGGTTTTAAAAGCTGTGTTTTGTGGCATTCCATATTTTGGAGATACTATACCTCACTCAGTTATCTCCGTGCTGAGCCCCATAGTTGTTTTGACCACAGCAAAATTTGCTCATGATTTAAGCTTAGTTTATTAGAGAGATGCTATGGATTAATTTTAACATTCCCAAGCAAAGGTAGCAAAGCACTGGTACAGCATTTTTTAAATAAATACCAAAATATTAATGATCAATAAGATTGTAGTTTGGATTCTATGATATAACTGGTGTCTACTGAGATCCTGCACCAGAGTTTAACTGCAATGTCAGGTACCATTTTAAACAGCCATTTGTAGATTAAGGTTTGTACTAAGGACTGTACTAACAGGCATGTAATGAAGATCTTTATTTCAAAGCAAAAGGTAAGCAGTTGTACATGCTAGATTTTACTTTGCACTGATTTTATGTTCCACTGCATTCTGTTTTCAGTGTGCTTACTTAAAGAAAAGATAAACAGAACCAGAGTTTCTATAGAGAACGTGATTACGGTCTTTTGCCTACAAATCTGCAGAAATGCACTTAGGAAAGTTAGTGTTAGGTTTCCTGATCTTCTAGTTCAGTTATCATAGAGAGCAGCTACCCACATGTGCTCTCATCACCAGTAAGGCTGAAATATTGGAAGAGTCTCAAAACTAAGCAGTTACCAAGGTGACAGCTCAGAGCAAGAGGCTTCCTAAGCTACCCCCTCTGCCCCAAGTGTCTGGGGAATCTTGGGACGTCTTCCAAGTGCACCACAACTTTGAGCTTTGCATCTCACGCTGAATTACTCCTACCTAATCAAGGTTTTGTCCTGCTTAGACTTAGTATTTTCTTCTAGTCATAATTATCTTTAGAGCTTTGAGACTAATTTGGGCATTTTACAGGTCATGATTCCTGCTAGCATGGAGCATGTGTAATCCTCACCTCTGTCTGCAAAATCCCCAAACAAAATGCATAAATCGTCTCCAGCATTTATTGCAATATCTTAGATCCCTAAAGTTAGTTTTGTATCCACATATAACATTTTCATTTAGATGAATTTCAGTAGGAAAAGAACTTTGAAAACTTAGGCTCTTTCAGGAAAACACTATTTTCTAAAAACCCCCAAAACACAGTAGTCCTTCCAAGCTTCCCTCCAAGGAAACTGCTTAGCCTTACTTAATTATTTGAAAAGCAACTGGTAAACAGCACCATGACAAACTTGTAGTTAATGTAGACCAAGAAATTGCAGGGAAAGCTAACCAATCAAGGGAACCACATAATTCAACACTGAAAAAACGATAACTGCACACTAACCAGCAAAAAGAATTACTTACTCCTAATTCAAATCACTAACTGCCAAGCGGGAGAGATAAAAACATACCTTTCTTCTTAAACAGCATTATCTACGTATCGCCTGGAATAGGGACACATCCCACCATTCTGACTGAAAAGCAACTCTCTCGTAAAGCAAGTATGTGCTGCATTAGTAAGGTCTTGTGTTTCAAATGCTAAAAAGAGATTTTGTATAGCACCAGCCCAGCACTTATTACATGAATTTATGCACTTAGTACATATCACTAGGAAGTAAAGATAGAGTGCATGTCTCATCTATAAAACTGCCTTAATCCCACATAGAAAAATTAGGTAAGTCATTAAGAGGCAGTAGGAACACTGTAGTAATAAGGACCGAAACAGTGAGATAAAGATATTAATACCATGTGTGGGTGTATAGAGGAGAGAATAACACATGAGTTGGTCTCTACTTCTGTGGTCCAAATGCCATAGGAGTCATAAAAACAAGCCACCGTAGTGCTGACATCAAGTAGGAAAATTCCAAACTGTGCCTAATAGCTTATTTTGTAGCAAGAAAATCTAATTCATGTAGAGCTGCCACAAAGAACACCTGCTAGGAGGACCAGAGAATGAGGGGGTCCAATATGCAAGAGGTTCCCCTCCTCAGCCTCCTAAACCGATGTTTATCAGGGAAGCCCAGTGCTGAGAGAGGTATCATCTCTCTATAAATAGAGAAGGAGCCAACAGTAGCAAGGGAAAACAACTATTTAAGCTCAAGGACAAAGTTGACTAGAGCTGATTATGAATAAACTGAGAGTAAAAAGATTTATAGCCAGAGAAGCAAGGCACAGGCTGTTAC